ATCAATATCATGATAGTCAATAAGAATGTAAAATGGAAAGAAGAAGAATAAGGGGGTTAAAAAGGTAGTAAAGAGCTGAAGTTTTCATTCAACATTTTCCCTATTAAATGAGTATACCTGTATATCCATGAATATATGTACATATATACAAGTATATATGCCGTTTTATATTTCTGTATTTTTATGTGAGTAAAATTTTTGTATTTTTATTTTCCTTCATTATGCTTGCCTTCATGCCTTCAATAATGAAGGAAGGCATTTTCTTTAATGTATACTGCATGCTTTAAAGAGTTTTCAAATTTAAAAACAATATTTACATACGTGTATATTTTACATAAAGTATATTACATATTTAAAAGCAAAGAATTGATCGTATCATTTGTGTGGTACCCGTACGTGTGAAGTTTCAGAATTGCAGTTTGCTTAGCTTGTTGGGATAGGATAACATTTTTTTTTCAAGTTTTCTGGCAGTTCTTGTAAGATCTAATACTCGTTTATGCAAAATTTCAACACAGTAAGCTTTAAAGTTTCCAAGACATGCAGACCAAATTATTTTTGGAGCTATATGGCACTCCTTGCTTTAACCCAATCTAAATTACGGTAACTGAATCCCGGTTCTTACAGTAACTGAACAAGTTTTACGGACAGGCAAACAGACGGACATAAGGATCGACGCACATGGATAAATCGACCCAGAATCAGATGCTAAGTAAGAATATGTATACTGGGTGATTTAGTGTGACATGTACTGTAGGGTTCTCAGCATTCCAATTTAAGGAAAACTTGAATTTTTCCCTTTTTGTTTCGCTCTTTTTAGTCGACCATTTAATAGCCAATTTTTCGAAATTTTAAAAATAATTTTTTCAATAACAATAAATTATGCAATTTGTTAGATATTTTTAGAAAAATTTCGTGCAAAAACGAATATTAAAGTTTGATTGATTTTAATTCAATCACTTGTATGCAACATTTATTTACTTTAACAATTCGGGTGGTTTAAAGTGGTAAAGACAGCGATAACCATTTATTTAAATAATTTTTAATGCTTTGTCTATAAAAGCTAAATATTTGTAAATTTTTAGACTAATTTTAATTTATTAGCTTAATATTACTTTCCAAATAATATTTTTTTCTAAATTAATATGAATTTTTTGGTGGAATTAATATGAATTTTTGGTGGAAAATTTAAGGGAATTGCAGCTACTATGGGTTGTTGTAAATTATTTGTAAAGGTATTTAAATTAATATAAAAAGGTACAGCTTATTTCTGCCAAGCCTAATTTAAATTGCGTTCGTGTAAAAATTATTTCGCTACAAAAATTGTATTCATAAAATACTAACCATACAGTAGCATAGTTACCGCTATAAATAGTCAAAAACTTTAATTTTTGGAAATTAGCTATTACCATTAGCTCTTTCAAAAATCTTTTATTTTAAGGTTTTATTTCGCTTAGCTCGAAGTTCATATAGCTAATAAGTGAAAAATTTCCAAAAATTTTCGTATAGAAACGATTTTCTCTCTATTAACTCTATTCCTAGATTGACGTATTCAGTTCTGCCTTTAACAAACTGCAATTTCCAACTGCATTGTAATTTTAGGAAAACTTGTCTTTAGCAAACTGCAGAACTGAATACGTCAATCATCGAGGGACAGGGTCTTGTGAGTAGATCTACCACTAAACTCAAATCTGGACGGTTTCCATGTTTCCCCTATGTTTTGCCAGGAGTTTCTTGGAAAACGAAAGGTGTGGCCAACCGTTATATAAGAAATTTATTTTAAATTAAAATATTTTTGTTGTATCTAAAAAATTTAAAAGAATTTTTTTTTTCTGATTTTGTAGAGGGAATTGAAAATTTTTTTTTGAAAAAGGTATACAAAATACCTACATACATAGGAAATGGTTCCAATCACAAGTGCAAACAATTAATATTTTTCAATTACAATGCACTAATTTTTTTTGAATATGAATACATAATATAACATTAGATGTTGAATCTTATTTTTTGTTTTCACTATCGAAAATTGTATTTGTAACTACAAAAACTAAGTTTTTGCCACATTATTTTAGAGGGATTTAACAAAATATCATAGAGACATTAACAAAATATCATACAACTTTTGACTATGTTTTACCTTACAATAATAATTATTACAATGCATGAAAAAACTAAAATTGCAATAATATTTACAAAACATTTAGTTTTACAGTTATTTGTTTTGTTCTAAATCTTCTTACATTTAAAAACACTAGTATTTACAGTGGCGAGCAAAAATGATCAAATAATTTAAAAAATTTTTTTATATGTAATTTTCTCTTTATTTTTTTAACAAATTTATTTTTATTATATTACATAATTATTGCTTCAATATTAACCTATTAATTCACACAATAAAAAAAACAATTCATTGAAAACAAAAACAAACAACAATTAAAAACTCTTGGAAGTCCCATTTGATCAATTTTGCACGTTTTTACATGTTTGAAAATTTAATAAGAAAGAACCGTTTTAAACATATCTTATTTCCAAGAATAGCATTATATTACTTCATATACTCAAAAACGTTCGTTCTGAGCAGAAGTTTTATTTATTTTTGTAAAGAAATTTATTAAAAATAATAAAATGAAAAAAATTAGTATGCAAGTAGAAAATAATATAGTTTCCATGATTAAGCAGGGCTATACTGCAAGGAAAATTGCTCAATTATTAAAAGTATCTGTAGGAACTATCTCTAATGTAAGAAAAAAAAAGAAATTAACTGAAAAAAAAATGTACGGGGTCGAAAAAGTCTGTTGTCCGAGGCCGATGCTCGCCAAATGTATCGATTTTTAAAAAATAACAAAGCTAGGACACCAAAAGAAGCAGCTCTTGCGCTAAATAAGAATGTCAGCGAATGGACGGTTCGAAGAGCTTTGCAAAAAATTGGTTTAAGAGCTGGGGTCAAAAAGAAAAAGCCTGCAATTTCTGAGAAAAACAGAAAAGCTCGTTTGAGTTTCTGTCAGAAACACCGAAATTGGGGTGTAGAAGACTGGAAACGCATAATTTGGTCGGACGAAACAAAAGTGAACAGGTTTCAGTCTGACGGAAAAACATATTTTTGGCAACGGTCACATGAAAAAAAACTCCAAAGGCATCAAATTCAAGAAACTATGAAGCATGGTGGTGGGAGTATAATGGTATGGGGTTGTTTTACATGGTGGCACATAGGACCTGTTGTCAAAATTAATCAAATTATGACAAAAGATTTATATTTAGACCTCTTGAAAACCTATTTGCCTAATTTTGTTGAAGAATGTGCTTATCCAATCGATGAAATCATTTTTCAACAGGATAACGATCCTAAACATACGGCCAAAATCGTTCAAGATTGGTTGGGAGCTCAAGATTTTTCGACGTTAAAGTGGCCAGCACAGAGTCCAGATCTCAATCCTATTGAGAATCTTTGGGCCATAGTAAAGAAACGTCTACATCAGTATGAAAAGCCTCCGAACAATATAAAAGAACTATGGGAACGATTTTCAAAGGAATGGCAAAACATTGATGAAGTAGTCATTCAAAATCTCGTTGAAAGTATGCCAAGGAGGATAGAAAGCGTCATTAAAAACAAAGGACTATGGTCCAAGTACTGAAACCGAAAAAATATTAAAATTTACTATGAAATTGATAAACGTGCAAAATTGATCAAATGGGACTTCCAAGAGTTTTTAATTGTTGTTTGTTTTTGTTTTGAATGAATTGTTTTTTTTTATTGTGTGAATTAATAGGTTAATATTGAAGCAATAATTATGTAATATAATAAAAATGAATTTGTTAAAAAAATAAAGAAAAAAATAAATATAAAAATTTTTTTCAAATTATTTGATCATTTCTGCTCGCCACTGTACATACAACAACAAGAAGAATCACACTGTAATGTTTAACAATAAATGTTGCAAATCTACATTAAATTGTATTGCACACAGTATTATGGAATGTCTTTTATTGTAAGTATAAATATACTGCGCGGTTGTATCTCAATTTACTGTACCATTACTTTTTGACAATATTGTAAGCATTGTTGCCTATTACAATATTGTAAACATTGTAGCCTAAATATCTTCATTTCAAAGATTTCATATCTTCACGAACCCTTCAAGATCTTCAACTCAAATTCTGTTGAAGAAAGTGTAAGGCAACAAAAAAAAAAGCTAATAACATGCACAATCATATATCATGGCAGGAGCCGTATGCGCATTTTGTTAATGCGCCAATTCGGTTAATATAGAATAAATTGCAGCGGAGAATACGAGTATCAATAATTTTCTGTCATGAGAGTAGTGTTACCATGCGTTACATATTAAATTGACTTTTTGGTATATTTTTTTTCGCAAACTTTGGAAAATATGGAAAAAAATGTATAAAATTCTAGTTTTGAAAAACTTTAGTAGCATTAAGAAAATTTTAAATTTAAAGATATTTTTGTATGTAAAATTTTAAAAATCTTATTAAGAAATTTCGCTCAAAAAACATGCCTAAAAAATCTTATTCGAAGAAAATTGTTATTTTAAATATGTTAGTTTAATAAAATTAAAATAATTATATATTTAGCGGGATGTTCATTATATTTTTAGAGGGATTTATAAGAAAATTAGAAGTTTTTGCTTTCCTGAAAATCACATATTATGTTATATTGAGATACAATAATTGTACATCCGGAACCGTTAATATAAAAGAATCATATGATTATACGGATCAACTGTACACTTTTTCTAATTCTACATACACACATTCAAACAAGAAAAACAAAATCAAAAAGCTGTACACTCATTACCCAAATAAAGCTTTCAATATTCAATTTATATACATTATAATACGTATACGTCGAAATGTGTATATATAGTGGTATATACATATAAAATTTATATTATTCGAAATATCCTACGTCAACCTAGAACTTTCAAAAAAAAAAAATTGCTTTTTGCTTTTCATTCCTTCTGCAGTCTAATTTAGAACTTCGAATTGTGTAAAAGCATAAAAATACGAAAAATAATTTTTTTTTAAATTTATCCGAATAAAACAAAAACAAAAAAAAATAAAAATGATAATTTAATTAATAATTGTTTGCACGTTTAAAAATTTCAAAGAAATTATCAGTAAAAGTGTTTTAATTTTTTTTTGTTCTTAATTCTGAAATAAAAATATAAAAGATTTTAGTGGTGTTTACATTGTAAGGCTATAAGAAAGATTAAGAGGTAGTGCGGGCGTTTGGAATTCGTAAAACACTAAAACAATTAAAAAGGAAATGAAAAATTCTCAAGTGCGATGATAACGTAAAGGAAAAAATATTGTCGTCGTGGAAAGAAAAACATTTTTTTTTTTGCATTTATTCGACGAGAAAAATAACAAAAAAAATTTTTATTAAATTTTTCAAAGATTTTCTATTTAAATAACATTTTTGCATGTCTTTTTTTGTTTTCTCAAATTCAAACACAGGAATGGATTTTTGCAATACACTCCTAATAACATAATTAAAGGGGCCCTTAAAATTAGAGTTTTTTCACTGCAAATTTTGTTATCTTTTTTTATGGATAATTTATTTGAAGTTATAGATAGACTCAAGAAAATTTTTCTTTAATCTATAGAAATAGTATCAATCCCCGTATAAGAGCAGATACTTTGTCTTAATTTGCAAGGCGATTTCGAATTAAAAATGAAAAAAAAAAAATATTCTGAACATGATTGTATCAATACGATTATAACAAAGTGTATTTTAAATATTTTTCAAAATTATTTAAAATATTTAACAAAAAAAATGGGATCAAAAGACAAGCCTATATTTTTTCTATTTTTATTACTAAAAATTCGAAATAAAACAAGAACAAAGCGAAGCAAAAATATTTTTTGCTATTGATTTTAAAATAAATTTCATTATCATTTTTTTTTTTTTTCAATTGATTTGAGTCAGTCTTTGATATACCACAAAAAAAAAAAAAACTCATTCATGGATATTTGAACTTCCATTCAGATTATTGATTTTTCTTCTATTTTCTTGTGTTCTTTCACCAAAAAGGATATTTTCTTTTTTTTTCTATTAATTCAGAAACAGAAAATAATAAAAACAAAAAGAAAAAAATTTCTAACCTTTTGAATTTGTTTTTGTGTCGGTATTCGTTTGAATACGAGTATATATAAATTTAAAAAATTTATACATATATTTGTATACGTTCTTTATCTGCATATACATATATATAAATATATATTATATATGAACATTAACGTATACATGTTTTAGTATATGTGTATACGCATTTTTATCTACAAATTATATCGATGGTGAAATGTAAAGTTATGCTAAGTAACAAATTTTTTAAATGAGTTTGCGAAATCGATGCGACTCAAATAGGCTAACTGCAAAGTTGAACTAGCAAAAAAAATGCTAAGTGTTTTTTTAGAAAGTTTATAATACAAAAACTGATGTAATGGTAAAACACAAATATGCAAAGTACATCAGTTGCTATTACAACAATGTTGCAAAGTACAACAATTTTAAACTATCAACCATTTTATGCTATGTGCAAGATCTTTTGTTCAAAATTTCAAATTTTATTTTAAAAAACTTATTTCAAATAAAAAACTAATTTTAGAAAAAACAGAGAATAAAAATTAAATTATATAATACTAATCTAATTAACTGCCTTCTTTTCGAAAATTTGCTAAATTTCAAAGCACTCTCCTGCAAAACTTTAAATTTGCTACTTAGCATATTTTTGCGCTTCAACAACGATATCTGATGTGTGTGCATTAAAGTGTGCATTATTTGATTTTCTTTCCTTCTGATTAACTCAATTATTGAACATTGTTTTTTTTTTTATATTTTGATGCTATTTATGTTTCCATATATGTATTATTTTAATATATAAGATTAAAAAATTAAATAATTTAAATATTTTTTTTTCTCAAATATTTAATAGTCTCGCCATAATATGTACTCGTAATATTGAAATTTTTGAATAAAACGTGGTTCATAATTCAATAATAATGAAAATAATTTGTAATTTAAAGTTTAAATTGCATTAAAAGAAAATATAATACACAATTTTTGTTTATCACAATTGCTCATATACATTTATATATATATGTATATCTTAAAAAACTATACTTACAATTATAGAGCGCATTGCAATCAAGTATATACATACGCATATTTATACATAATATAAATATGTTTTACATGTTATCATCAAATTTCTAAAAGTGAACAAGAGGAAGTGAAAGAAATGCAAGAACAATTTAAGTTAAAAATGTCTATATAAATTGCATATACATAAAGTATTAACAATATAAAATTATTATATATGTATTTATTGAAATCATGTTATTAAAACAAAAACATGGAGTCGATTTTAAATTTGTGCTTTTAAAATGCAGAAATTTCTTTAAATAATTCTTAATTTTTGTTAAATAAATTAATATACTTAATATAATGTGTAAAATAAAATGTGAAAATTATGTTTGTGTACATGTTAATTATTATAATGTGAAATTTAATAATTAAATTTAATTAATTAGAACATAAAATATCAACATAAAACGATAACTATAGTAAATACACATACATTTAGAACAAGCGAAAGAAAGTCAGAAAAGGAGTGAAAAATAAAGAGAAAACTAGAAGTAGAAAGAGAAAATAAAATAAAATTCAAAATGTTCAGAATCAATCTCTTTATTACATATTTACTCTTAGGTTATGGATGCTTCATTAATCCTATTTCCGGGAACACATACCCTGGTAATATTTATTATTATATTTTATATTTTTTTTTTTTACATTATATATTTTCAATATTAAAATGGAAATATACTTAAACAAAAATTTGAATTTCAAGATTTTTCAAATTTCAAAAATCTAAACATAGTTTTCTTGTTGAAAAGTGCCATACCCATATTTATTAATAATGGTCATATTTATAAATAATAGGAGAATTAGAGCTCGATTTATTATTTTTATTGTTTAAAACTCAACCGCCTTCTCGCCTAAGTCTTTAGTAAGGACGTGCACCTGTGAATATAATTTCAATTTTATCAATTTAGTCATGTTTTTTTGCTATATCTTTGTGTCTGTAAGTTTTTTAAAATATTTTTATGATATTATCTTGATTTAGTTTTGAATTATAATGTCGAAATTTCTCACAAAAAAATTATTATTAACTTATGAGTTCACTGATCATTGATAAAACTGAAAAATTTTGTGATTAATTTTTTTTATATAAAATTATTCCATATAAAAAAGTAATTTAGTTAAAATAAATTGCATGCGGTGGTACTGTTGTATTGCCACACAATTTCAAAGATAGATATATCTCAGAAAATATGTATTAAGGTTATTCCGTAAATCAACGTATATGAACTGTTTATAAACTAAAACTGTAACAGCAAGAAACGAGTCGGAATAGCATAAATCCCGATTGTAACCTATCACCAACTGTAATCGCAAACCTTAACCTTTTCCTTATAATTATAACCTCTATGTTTCACAATAGAAAGAAAATATTCTACTATCAATATACATTTAAATACAAAACTGATACGCTATTAAAGGATTTTACTGCAAAGCCTTGATTTTGTTTTATGACAGACGTTAAGTGTGATATTTTTTATGCAATTAAACTTTTTAAAAACTTTTAAAACTCAAACAACAACTCCAATAACTTTTATGGACTTAATATAAGGTAGAAATAATATACAACAGTGAAAAGGTATAAAAAACTGTTCCATGTAAGTTCCCAATTTATTCGCACAATTTTTCTAACAGATGTTAATGAATAAGAAAAGTATTTCACAAATCTTTATCAGAGAACAAATTAAATTTTAGTTTTTCATTTTTTACATTTATTTTAAATTTACATTTGATTAGGGGACCTTTTAAATAAAAATTTCTTATAAATTATGAATAGTTAGCAATACCCCGTATTATAATATTATGTGTGCTCACTAATTTAATTATTACAAATTTTTACGTGTATAACTTTAAAGAGTTTAAGTTTTTATGTATACGTAAAGTTAAAATTTCAGTGTATAACTAAATTAAATTAAGTATGGTATGTAAATGTATCACCATTGAATGATACTATTGACAACGTGTCAACACCAATATATTTCGATATCATATTTTTAGTTGAGAAATCGCAGTTTTGAAAATAAAATTATACACATTATAGTTACATACAAGCATCTAGCTATGTGTCCTTATGTATTTTTACTCAAAAGCACACAAAAGGAATGTACATGTGTGTAAAAAGAAAAGTATTTTGAAAATGTTTAATTAAAGTCAGCATTTTTGTTTTTTACAAATTTAGACGTCATCCTTTGCTTAAGTACAAAAATATAAAATGTTTGCAAATTAAAGGTTATAGTTTTTAACACTGTATTAATATTTAATTTCAGCAGAAGTGTTCAAGAAAAATTAAATGTGACTTTTTCTATGAATATTTTTGAGTAACACAAATTTCACCTTTAATACGTAAAATATATTTTTGTATTTTCGTCTCCTTTGATAACCCATATGGTTATACCAAAATTTTGTTTCACGTTTAAGATTTCCACCCCAAGGGTTTTCGTGAGATAAAGAGTGGCGTGTTAACAAACTTCTTCTTAAACCTTCTGAAATCTATTAAAAATCAGTTAAAAAAAAGTCTGTTAGTGTGTATTGAATTTATGTTTAACATGATTTTGTTTTCTGAATTTCTTTTCCGGTTTAAAAAATCTTCTGGAGCCAAAGTTGTACATTTCGCCAAGATCATCCCGGCAATACACTGTATGTTCTAAAAATACCTTGAAACAACATTTGACGTTTTAATTCTATTATAAACACTACAATTTCAAATCGACAAGTTTTTTAAATAAATTTTTTAAAACTATTATGGTTAAGACCGATAACACAAAATTTTGCTTTCATTTTTATGTAGGTCTCCGAAATTATAGTTTTATTATTAATAAAATCTTAGTAAATTTCAAAAAAATAAAATTGGGTCAAATCAATTTATTTGTAATGTAGCACTTTTACCTTCAACAATTGAAAATATTGCTTTTAAAAACAATTGATTTAACTACCTTAATCGATTATTAAAATTACTTTCATTCATACACGAATATATTTCAAAGATTGCGTACATTTAGGATAAGCACTGTATGCAATTTTTGCAATAAAACAAAAAAAAATTTAAAGAGGTGTTTACACAATTGCATGAGTTACGAAAAATAATTATATTTTATAATGACATGGAATTCACCGTTAGCTTTTTGCGTTAATAGAAATATGAAAAAGTTTGCAGTTTCGGAAATATAAGGTGCCAAAAATTCAAATCTTACAAATTTGGAGTGGCGATAACTCGAAAGGAGGTCGAAGTAGAAAAATATTTTCTTCCAACGAAATGAACTGTTTATTAGTATCTGAAAGCTGTAAAATTTAAACTCCCACGTGTAGCGTTCTAGAAGAAAAATTATGTCGAAAATTTGGAAAAAGCGGATTTTAGAAAGTGGTAAATTTAACAGCCAGCCACAACATTTCAGCTTTTGCAAAATTTTAAAAATCCTTATGCTACAGTTAATAGATAAAAAATGACACTTTTATGGTTTAGAGGGGAACAACATTTAAAGGAGGGGGATATAAGTAAAAACTTTCTCTTATAATTTGAAAAATTTAGGTTAAAATACCATTTTGCATCAAACCTATTTCAAAATTTAACGTGTCTGTGTGTTATTAATTTTAAAAAAAATTTTAACATAACGTAATCCAAAAACCCCTTACAGTATGCAATTTTGATAATCTTATTTAAGACGAAAAGTCGATTTCTTGTTTTAATTAAAAAAGCATTATTTTATATAAAGTATAGATAAAAATATCCATAATTTCGAAAGTTGTAGACATCTTAAATGAGGTTCGGTTGGTTCCATTTTCTTTATATAACATGAATATAATGTACCTGTCAAAAAATTTTAATGAAAAAAAATTGCTAATCGATTTATAAGAATGTTCAATAAACCTAATTCTTGATTGATTAAAATATATACAAAAATATTTCATGAGAAATTGTTATTTTTGAAACTAAATTTATAAACTTTAACAATTCCATAAGTATACTTATGTTAGAAGAAAAAAATGATTACTATTATCAAAATAATTACTGAAAGAACATAAAAAAGAGTCACAAAATCAAATTAATAGGGTGAGGAATAAAACAGGAGAACTTAAAGAGCTCGATAAAATCTATTGTAAATATTATACCGACATTTACCAAAATATAAAGTAAATTACCATATACTTTTAACTCGCAACGTAAAGTTAATTGATAAATTAAAATCTGCTGGTTATTTCGCTTGATTTTCAATATACTTACAAGAACAAATAAGTGCAGCTTGTGGCATAGTTGTACTCTACTTAGTAAAAACTAAATTAATTTGAGATATTTTCATGAGATTTACTTAAAATAATTTAAAATTTTATACGATATAACCTTAATCCTTTAAGTCGAAAACATTGTTACCTTTTATACAATGTTTAATTATTTTTATTCGAATGTTCAAAATCTCAATTCATTTTAATATGAAAAATTATTTAAATATAAATAATGCATTTTACAATTATGTGAAATAAACAATGTATAATTTTCTATTACGTTAGAAAATGCTTACATAAAAGCAATTCTACATAATATGTTTATATTATAAAATATAATTCTAGGAATTCTGTTCAGGACAGCATTTATATAATATTCACATATATATACATATAATACATAATATAATTTCTTTATTTTTAATATTGAATAATTTATTTAATTTACAATAAAAATTTCATGAATTTGAGCATAGTTAGAGAATTAACGTATATTGTACATATTATATATGTATTAATATATATGGACTTGTATGTGCGTGCAGCGAATTTCCTTATTTGTGTTCGTGTGTATGTAAAAAAGACCCATTCTTTAATAAAAGAAGAATGAGTTCGTTTTTTTTTTTTTGGTTTTTTAATATAAAAATAAAATTGCATTGACGTCAAAAATTCTAAGAATAGCCTTTTTTTTTAAGATATAAATTCAAAATTATATTATTTACTTGTGTTTATATGTATGTGTATAGTTAAATGTTGCGGACATGTATATGCGGACACGTTTGAGAATCTCTTTAAATTAAAAATACATCTATAAATATCTATATGTATTCATGTATGTGAACTTTTATATTTTAGTAATAAAGAGCCTGGACATTCCTATCTTCATACACTCTCATTTTTCAATTGTGATATTTAATTTACAGAAATTTTTTTGAAAATTTGATTTTTTTAATTTAAATAAAACATAAATTTTTTAATTGAATTTATGTAAGTACGCGCATTTTTTAATCTTCAAAATTGTTTGAAATTATACTTGTATACTTAGTAAATTCTCTTCTTCTCTCTTAATGTCTACAAATTTTCTGATTAAATAAAATACAAACATATATACATAAATACATACATACAGACTCATATCGAATATTGCAGAGTTATTCTGTTTACATAATATAAGAAAGAATCAAAGAAAATTAAAATTTGCGTCGCATTCGCATTTTTCTTTGTTTTTTTACATACATACATACGCAACTGCATATTGCACATATGGATTTTTATAATATGTATGTATGTATATATATACCTATTTTGTTTTTGATACCCGACGGCAGGTTTTATTCAAGGATTTTATTTTATAATAAAAATAATTGTTTAACGAAATAGAAACTAGAAAAGTA